CGGGACGTGGCATCGGCTGCCCGTGCAGTGGCCAGCTGGTTGCTGTCCTGGAGCACAGGAACGGAAGGCGTCCTGGGAGGTCTGAAGGTTGATTGTGAACCTTGAGTTGCCATGAGGGAGACACAAGCTGGAGGTTTGCTTGCTTCTTCCTGGGGTTTGAATAGAAACTCGGCAAGAGAAGGAAATCAAGCTGGCAGCCCTAATGGTTGATATTCCCTGTGTAAATAAACTCTGTCCAGAAAGTGAGCTTGCTTCCATTTGGATTATATTCCTGTGTACATGAGTTAGTAACTTATTCCAGCAAAGACTGGGTTTATTATAGCTTCTGGTCCAACAGCCCTGCTCTCTGGGGCAGCATCTCCACTTCACTGTGACAGAGCTCCAGTGGTTTCTGGAAGCCAGTCTGCAGCCTTTCAGGGCAGGAAATTCAGTGAAAAATCAAGTTAGTTTTGCTGTTTCAGAAGCGCTGAATGCAAATAGGATGGCAGCACTGAGATAAGTCTTCAAAAGGCAGTACTACAGGGACTTGTGTTATAATAAGGAGGCAGTGTGGGCAGGAATAATAGTAGTCTCTACCACGAGCTTGGTAGACATCTCAGCTTCAGGTGGAGGGTTGCAAGAAGTCCTGTATTACCCTATTAGAACTGAAAGGGATAGTAGCAGAACTTTTCCAGAGAGTGATGTAACTACTGGGAGATAAGAAACTTAAATTGCTGGCTTTGTCTTTGATTTCAACTACAGCTAGCACCTGAGAGTCCTAGCGGTAGCTTCTGAGTGGGGAAAAAAAACAAACACCACCACCCCTCCAAAAAACAAAACAAAACAAACCAACCAACCCCCAAAAAAAACCCAAACGTGTTGGGTTCCTTCCTCCCTCCCACGTTTCACAAACTTAAGATAAATGAGTCATCCTGCATAGTGAGTTATCTGTATGGGAAGACCAAAAAAAAAAAAAAAAAGTGATGTTAACTTAAAATTTGGTAATTCTCTCTTCAGGACACTTATTCACACAGTACCACTTGTGTTTTAATGAATTCCAGTGAGAAATTAAGGATGTGTAGTACTGTTCAAGGAAGAAGAAAAAACAGTCAAACTACTAAAAAGTCATTGTGCAGACAGACCTTAATCTTTATGTTTCTAATGATGTTGAATTGTCCTCTTTGCAGTTGACCTAGCATCTTGTTGAAACATGTTTTCCCCCTCAATAGAAGAGATGAACCAAACTGCTATTGCTGCAGAGCTTCAACATTATTAAAAAGTCCATGTTGAGGCTTTAATGAAATAATAATACCTTATTTCTTCCTTAAATTGGTCTTTCATCCTAGTAAACGGAACCCTAGCACATTACCAGTGATTGATGACCCAGAATGCTGACTGTAGCCCTCTGGAGATTTTACCTGTGCTTCAGGAGCAGAGAGGCTGCCCAGGCTTTTCACTGTAGCATTTCAAAGCGATAAGGCTACTGCATACCTTGAAAGCAAAGGTGAGCACTGTTTTGTCTGCATCATCTCTTAGGATTCAGATGAGAAATGTGAATGCTGTTTGATAAGCGCAAGTCTGTTCCCTACCAGTTTATTTCAGATAGTTCAGCAGATGAACTTCTCTGTGGGATTAAAGAGAAGCTTGAGAGGTAGGATTTTAACCACCAAATTATTTTCCCTTGAGCTGCCCACCTGTCACTTTCTTAGAGGAGGAGGGACAATAACTGTCAAACTATTTTGGTAGAAAAGGATATGAATGATAAAAATACGTCAAGGGAAGAAGATGAGTGTGGCCCTGTAGCAACAGCTGAAAATACAGCGTTACACCCATGTTGCCATTACCCAAAACATCCGTTTTGATCAAAAGACCCAGAAGCAAGAGCAGGTAGATGTATACATAGACAAATAACTGTGAAAACACCGATTTAGAAAGACAGTTCGATAAAAGCATTTAATGAGGAAAAGCAAGTCAGGCTCTCTTCTGCTTGCCCTTAAATTAATAATCTGAGGGAAAAAAGTGTAGAAAAGCTAGAAGCTTCTAAGCTAAGTTGGGGAAAAGTCTTGATACAGGCTTTTTATATACAAATGCTTAGTGTGCGTACCTATTTTTTGCAATATCTGTATTAAGATTAGGACAGCTGACAAAGCATTCATAATTTCACAAGCACGGCGTGTAGCCCCTCTAAATGCAATTCTCTTACTCTTATGTCCTTGAACATTTCCTAAGATCGTGTAGGCTTCTACCGAGAGGGGCGGTTCGCCTCCCAGTCTGTCTTGTACTCAGGCGGGTCAGGCTTTCAGCTGCCTGTAGAGGAAAGCAAAGGGGAAGTTCACTGTTAACTAATACATGAAATCTGTTCTTACTCTTCCCTTTTATCCTGGCTGCCAGAGTCAGGTCTTCTCTGCCAGCCTCATAACCATGTAATACATGCAAATACACAGGTCCATATGGTCATTTTTATGTTCTGCCCCCTTCCCTCAGCCTTTCCACCTCTGGAAAACAGATACCTACCTCACTGCAGCTGTGAGACTCTGATACCAGTCATTAATATCTTGTTGGTCGCTGGACATCAACAGCAGTGTCTTGTGCGGAAAGGAAAGCTGAAAGGCAAACAGAATCTGTTGCCACTCCGTGGCATTCCTTGCCAAGGTGGCAACTCCAATAAAATGAGAGCCATCCCCATTGAACTCAACTCAGCCCTGCATGCTGATTTTCACCATTTTTTTTTTCCCAGATAGAAAAATTGAACAATGGGTACAGGTAGAAGCCCGGGCTGGAAGAAGCCAGAGGCTGGACAGTACAGAGCAAGTGCCGGACTTGTCCATTCCTTCCAGCCACAGATGACAGCTCACTTTGACTTAGTAGGGTGTTTGGAAGTGGGCAATTACAGTTCTCGGCACCTCTTAATCCAGTTTTCTCCCTTATTCCAAGCTGCCCCTAGGGGTCCTTCCACCACCACCATCTACAGATGACAGCTCGCCCAAGGTGCTGCCACCTAGGAAGACCTGAACTGGAAACCCCTGCCTAAGGCACCCCTCACAGTCAAAGACCCTGCAGCCCTCAAGGAGTTAGATGCCCAAGCAATATCTGTTGTGATAATACCCACGTCATTCTGTGTACTCTCTTTTTCAGGGTTTTCTATAAGCTCAGTCCACGGTCACTGTGACACTGTGTATTTCTTGTGACATGACTGCAGGGATGTCCCCCCAGGACGTGTGCTCTGCTGAGGGCGCATCAGAGTCTTACCGGACCCTCCTCACCTGAGCTAAGGGCCACAAAAACGGTCAGAGGGACGGAGCACCTCTCCTGTGAGGACAGGCTGAGAGAGCTGGGGTTGTTCAGCCTGGAGAAGGGAAGGCTGCGGGGAGACCTTATTGCGACCTTTCAATACTTAAAGGGGGCCTACAAGAAAGATGGGGATAGTCTTTTTAGCAAGGCCTGCTGTGACAGGACAAGGGGTAATGGTTTTAAACTAAAAGAGGGTAGATTTAGACTAAACACAAGAAAAAAAATTTTCACTATGAGGGTGGTGAAACACTGGAACGGGTTGCCCAGAGAGGCTGTAGATGCCCCATCCCTGGAAACATTCAAGGCCAGGCTGGATGGGGCTCTGAGCAACCTGATCTGGTTGTGGATGTTCCTGCCCATTGCAGGGGGTTGGACCAGATGGCCTTTAAAGGTCCCTTCCATCCCAAAGCATTCTGTGATTCTATGAAGTGAAGCAATCAGCAGCCTGAACCCGAGTGCTCAGGGGGGCCTACACCATGAAGGCAAAAGGCCCTGCATCACCCAAAAAGAGAAGGGTTGCCCTAACTCAGACTAGTTCATTGCATTTACCATTGTCACCTCTCTCATCATCTCAGTCCTGCTGCTGCTGAGACAGCTGGAGACCTGCTTCGCCAGTCTGACTCCAGCGATGCTTCTGCCGGGCAGAAGCGGGAAGACTTACACTGAGGAGCCCTCCCTGGCTCTGCGTGTGGCCGAACACTTTGTCCACTATGCACTGGTGAAGCGGGTAGACAGCCTGGCACGCCAATTTATTCGAGTTCAGCGGGTGCAGTGGGTGGCAGGGCTTTGTTGCAATTAAGATATCAGAAAAAAGGAAGAACATCCGGCGCTTCAGTTCTTCTCCCTTTGAAGGCACCACCAAAAGCCAGCCTTCCCGGATATACCAGCGTCCTAGTCATGCAAGGGAAATAAAGACACTTGTCAGATCATCATTGGGGAAAAAAAAAAAAAAAAAAAAAAATTAAAGAAAAAAAAGGGAAAACAGGGGGCCCCCCCTTTGGGTTTACTTGTAGGTTACCAGGTTCTACCTCAATTCCAGCCACTAGAAGGCACTGAGTATCGACTGGGGCCAGCTCACCAGCCCTGATGGCACCCATGCAGAAGCATTAATCAGCCCAAAACTTTTAGCATACGAGGAGCAGACTGAAGTTATTATAAATCTACTATGTTAATTAAGAGGATATTATGATATGCGAGTCTGTTTAAAGAGACCAGAACAAAAACAGGGTTTGAAAATGGTATGCATACCTTTAAATTAACATAAACTCTCGGAAAACATACCCTGAACTATCTTAAATTGTGTTGCCCAATTGTTTGTCATTAGTGGTGAAAAATAAATTAGCCTAAGCTTTGAACTTTTATTATTTTTTCCTTGTTTTGTTTGCTTGTGCGTGCCAATTAAAAAAAAATATTTCACAGGTCATCTAACTATATACAGACCTCCAGTAGTTAACAGATTACAGAACGCAGATTACTATTCTAATGAGAAGACAGCAAAGGGGATACAAAACAACATATTAAAAGGAAGGTCTGAAGAGGCAACCTTAGCAACCTTCTCGTACAGAATAGGGTCCAGTGTCATCTACTCATGAAATGAATTGCAATAAAACAAAAGGCAGAGAAATCAGCAGG